GCCCTGCTCCACCTGGCTCTGGGCCCACCCTGTCTGGGGCTGTGTCCTGGGTGCAAAGGGGCCAGATCTGTGCTGGAGTACAAGGCTTTATTCCATCCTCCCTGGGAGCCCATGCCTGTGGCAGCCCACACTGCCACTGTGTAAATCCCCCCTGTCTTAGCAGGATACAGAAAGTACAGGGGGAGTTGGAAAAGGGGCTGTGCCCACCCAGTGTCCATGGGCTGAGCCAGCTGGGCCCTTCTCTGCCCTGCCTGAACCCACCTCTGGTCTCTGGGATGGCCTCCATCACTCCAGAGCTGGTTTGGTCCCTCCAAGGTCTTGCTGTGACCATCGGGCTCACCCAGAGTTGGAATCCTGTAGGGATTGCCAGGGCTGGAGGTGTGAGGAAGCGGGGACTGCGCTGTCCACGAGGGCTGGGCAGGACAAAATCCACGTGGGAAGAGGTGCTGGGTCAGCAGCCGCGCTGAGCTCCTGGTCCTGTGCAGCCTGGCTCAGTCGCCACGTGCCCCAGTGCCACGTGCCGGGTGTGGTGCCAGGACTGGTGACTGCTGCGGTGTCACGGTCCTGCCCTTTGCCCTCCCTGCAAGCACCACTGCTGTTGCTCCAGGCTTTCATCTCCCAAACTGAAACTCCCTCATTCCCCGCCAGAGGCTGATGCTGGACCTGCCCCATCCCCACAACGTGTGCCCCCGGGGTGCCAGCCCTGTGCCCCAGGGGTGCCAGCCCCAGGTCCTGGCACCCACAGCCCTGCCCAAGGTGGCATCAGACTCATGGGTGTCACCCTGCCATGGGGACACTTCATCTTGCAGATGTGGCCCCGGTGCCTTTCCTGCTGCAGGGAGCTGTTGGGAGGTGCTGTGCCACCAGGGCAAGGATGTCCCTCCTTGTACATGTCCCCTGTAGGCCCTCGGAGACCCTTCCTGGTTCATGGCTGCCTCCCACGTGGAGGGTGGCACGGAGCACCGCAGGGCCCTGCGGGCAGCCACCCCTGTGCCCTTCTTGGCTCAGCCCTCACCAGAAGGGACAACGCAGCCGCAAGAACCCTGCGGCACCCCGGGCCATTGGCTGCTGTCCAGGGGCCGGGTGGGAGCGGGGCGGGTGTCACAGGTCGAGCCGGAAGGCCCCGAAGTAACTGGCGGCTGCGTCACTGGAGTCAATGGCCAAGGAGGAGACGGAGACGAAGAGCTCGTCACCGGCCTTGAGCTCGAAGAGTCCCCCCTGGTAGAGCGCGTGGAGCCCGTAGTCAGCCTCGGGCGCCCAGCACTTGGTGCCCACGCCCTTGAGCAGCAGCACGGGCGGGCTGTGGGCCGGCTGCCACTGGATGCACTGCACGAGCTGGGGGCCCGAGTCGCGGCCGGCGCCGCGGTAGCGGAAGTAGATCTGCGAGTACACGTAGTACTTGCCCGGCTGCTCCACGCGCAGCCGCCCGGCCCGGTACGTCATGTTCTGCACGTGGGACAGCAGGCTGCTGTGCCCCCAGTGCGTGATGGCGTGGCGGCACGACTGGGAGAGATTCCCGGAGCGCTGGGAGCGTCCTGCGGGAAGGGACAGCCACTGAGGGGAGCGACCTGACCCGGCCATACGGAGGGGAGGGTGTGCTCTGACTCCTTCCCAGTCATCCAGCTTGGAGGGGTGGAGCTTGGTGGTCTTGGAGTGAAGGGGGGGACAAGCACTGGTCCCATCATCCCATCCTGGTCCCCTGCCCTTTGATCTCTCCTGTTCCCATCATCCCATCCTGGTCCCCTGCCCTTTGATCTCTCCTGCTCCCATCTTGGAGACCCAGCAGTGCCCAGAGGGGTTCCCCAACTCACCATCCTGAGCCAGGCTCTGTGGGCGGAGGGTGAGATGTGCTGAGGGTTTCCCAGCTATTTTGGGAGGAAGTTGCCCCTCTGAGGTGTTGAAGTAGCTCCGCCAGGCCTCTGCAGGAAAGGGACAGATGCTGTAAGAACAGCGTGGGGACACCTGGCCCCATGCCAGCAGGGCAGGGAATGCCCCACTGACCCACCAGAGCAAAAGATTATTGAGGGATGGAAATGTCTCGTCAATCATCAACCAACACATCTGTGTGTGCCATGGCCCTGCTTCCCCAGCCTCCAGACAAACAGACGTGGCTGTCCCCCAGTCCGTTGCTGGAATGTGTGCCTGTCATGGCAAGTGGCAATCCTGGCTCTCCCCTCTCCTGCCCCAGCTTACAGCACGGGAGTTGGCACCCCCTAACCCCCTGCTGGCCCCCTGGGATCACAGCTCCCATGGATCACGGCTCCCAGGGGTCACAGCTCCCTGGATCATAGCTCCCATGGATCACGGCTCCCATGGATCACAGCTCCCATGGGTCACAGCTCCCAAGGGTCACAGCTCCCTCGATCACAGTTCCCATGGGTCACAGCTCCCATGGATCACAGCTCCCTGGATCATAGCTCCCAGGGGTCACAGCTCCCAGGGGTTACAGCTCCCTGGATCATAGCTCCCATGGATCACGGCTCCCATGGATCACAGCTCCCATGGGTCACAGCTCCCTCGATCACAGTTCCCATGGGTCACGGCTCCCTGGATCACAGCTCCCAGGGGTCACAGCTCCCAGGATCATAGCTCCCATGGATCACGGCTCCCATGGATCACAGCTCCCATGGGTCACAGCTCCCTCGATCACAGTTCCCATGGGTCACAGCTCCCATGGGTCAGGCTCTGGCCCAGGGGGACTCACCCTTCACGGCGCTCCTGCGGATGATGTTCTCGGTCACCTGCGCCACAGAGAAGAGAAAGTTCCCTGGTTAAAGGTGACACAGGGTTTCCCCATGCCTGAGCTCCTACTCCAAGTCTCCATCACCTTCCCTGTCATGCTGGCTCTGGGCCCCACCACCTCCTCACTGTGAAGGGCTTGATTCCCACTGCCACCTTGAACCATCCTGGCTATTCCCCCTTCCACTGCTCTGGAGAGGCAGATGGAGAAACTGAGGCACGGGGACAACCAGGAGCTCTCCCATCCGCCCTTTGTCCCGCGCTCACCGTGGCCACGTAGGCTTTGATGGTGCTGGCCAGCTTGAGGCAGCCCTGGCTGCTGCTCAGCTTCTCCAGGCTGGAGCCCTCGGGCTGCTGATTGAGCACCTGCAGACACCGCAGCTCCTCTGCGCTGCCCGGAGCCTGGGATTTCAGCTGGGATGGAAACAGAGCGTGATGGCAAACTGGGACAGAGCGAGGGAGCGGCCGGGATCCTGCTGGGTGTGAGCAGGGGGCAGCTGCCTTAGCCCTGCTCCTGCAGCAGCTGGGCACTCAGAGAACAGCCAGGATACTGGGATCAGCTCAGCCTCTGGATCCACAGCACAGCGCTGTGAGGTCAGATTGAAAAGATCTGCGCTCATCTCTGCCCTCCTGGCGCCCCGGCCGGCCCTGCCCGGCCATTCCCCGCGGGAGGGCTCGCAGGCTGCTCCTGCACACACCTGCGGCCCAGGTGGCAGCGCCGGCTGCTGCCAAGGCAGCGAATCCCCCCGGGACGGGGCCGTTCCCTTGGAATGCCTGCGGCGGGAGCGTGTCCGGGCTGACTGCGGCGTGTGCCCGCCCGCGGAACCGGGGCCAGCCCGGCAGGGAAGCTGCTGGAGCGGCTCCAGAGAAAGCCACGGAGATGTTCCGAGGGCGGGAGCCGCTCTGCCCTGGAGCCAGGCTGGGAGAGTTGGGGGTGTTCACCTGGAGAAGGCTCCAGGGAGAGCTCAGAGCCCTTTCCAGAGCCTAAAGGGGCTCCAGGAGGCTGACTCCCTACTCCCAGCACAGATCCAATGACTGGCCGCTGAAATTAGCCCAAATTGTTCCACTACAGTGGTTTTCTCCTCCCTCCGTCTCTTCCCTGGGGCTGTGTCTCCCCATTCCCCTCCTCTCCCCGCCTTTCATGTAAATCCCTCACAGCGGGACCTCATGTGACCCGGGGATGGAGACAAAGCCCGAAGGAGGGCTGGAGCCCACTCTGAAAATGCTTCGCTGGATCCAGACAGGCTGTTTATTCCCCCTGCATCCGTGGCAGGGCTTTTCCTTCTTCCCCGTCTCTGGTGTGTTTTGTGGAATGTCTGGCACGGCAGGACCCTTTTTTTTTTTTTTTTTTTTTTTTTTTTTGCCTCACCCTCAGGGATGAGGGGGCTTCCACGGAGCTGCTGCCACCCCCGAACTTCCCTCTACCCCTGGATCTCCTGACTAGCGTTTCCCTCCCGCTGCTGAGGGGTTGTTGTGGGTCGGAATCAGCAGCTGAGGGGAGGGGCTGGCGAGGCTGTTGAAAGGATCAGACCCGCCTCGGCCAAGTTTGGGAGTGGTTTTGCCCGACTGACCCCGTGGGAGGTGGGAATGGCGGGATCCCAGCACAGCTGGTGGGATTGCACTGGAGCAAGCAAAGGGCTGCTGGAATGGGGGTCCCAGCATCTCACAGAGGGGGTGAGGAGGATTTGGAGTCCTGGAGTGTGGGGAGATGGGAATGGGAGGAGGGAGAGATGAAGCCAGAACCAGGGGTCAGTGGGGCCTGGAGCCCAGGGAAGTCTCCTCCCCCCCGCCCCCGGGGTTGGAGACTCCGATGGGATCCCAGGGCACAGCCCCCCTCTCCCAGTGCAAACCTCAGCTCCAGGCGGGGCTCAGGACAAAGGCGCAGGCTCTCCACATCTGGATTGGCTGTAGTGTCCACCCCTCCGCCCACGCCTGCACAGCTGGATATGCATCTCCGGGCGGAGCTCGGGCAGTGTCCACCCCCCAATCCACATCTGGTCCCAAGGCTCCTGGGGAGCTGGGGCAGTGTCCACCCCGCAGCCCGCACCTGGCCCCGCGGCTCCCGGCAGGCAGAGGCGAGGAGCGGCAGCGGGCAGAGCCCTCCCGCAGCCTCCGGGACTGCCGGGGCCGCAGCCCCGCCGCCGGTCCCAGGACAAAGCTCACCTTGGAGATGGCCATGGTGAAGTAGACGAAGAGGCCGGTGGTGGAGGCGATCTGCAGCGCCAGGATAGCCATGACGGCCACGCTGCCCCACAGCGGCCCGCACCGCCGCCGCCGCTGCCCCCGCGCCGCACCGGGGCCGCCGTCCGGAGCGGCACCGGGACAGTCACCGGGAGCGGGCCCGGCAGCGGGACCCTTGGCCAGCATTGGCGTGTCGGAGCCGGCGCTGTCGGAGCGCAGGTACTGCCCGGCGCTGGGCGGGTGCGGGGCCATGCCCGGGGGCGGGGCTAGGCCCGGGGGCGGGGTCTGGCGGGCACCGGGGCCCGCCGGGCGCGATGGTGGCCCCGGGGTGCGGCTCGGGTCCGCGGGGACGGTGCGTGTCCCCGGAGAGCCCCAGAGTGTCACTTCACACAGCGACAGAACACGGGGAATGGCTTCACTCTGCAGAGGGCAGGGTTAGATGGGTTAGATGTGAGGGTGGGCAGCCCTGGATCCCTGGCAGTGCCCAAGGCCGGGCTGGACACTGGGGCTGGGAGCAGCCTGGGCCAGTGGAAGGTGTCTCTGCCCAGGGCAGGGGGTGGCACTGGGTGAACTTGAGGCCCCTTCCTACCCAAGCCATCCCAGGATTTATGAATATGCTCCATGCCACCATCACAGGACAGTGGGAGCTGCTGGGTGGGGTGACTCCAGGCGAGAAGACCCCAGTGTCCCTGGGCTGAGAACAGAGGGTCTCAGGGCTGGAGGGACATGACCTGAGCCAGGTTTAGGTGATGGGCCTCACATCACCCTTGGCCACCAGCAAAGGCTCAGAAAGGTGCAGGTTTGCAGGACAGGGGACAAGAGCTGCTGAGCAACTTCTGGAGGCCTTGCTGTGGGGGCCGTGCCCACCCTGCCCTCCTGGACTGGGCACAGGGCTGTCCATCCTTGCTGAGCCCCGGGTTCTGTCCTGCTGCTAGCTCACATTCCCATTGTTCCACAACAGAAATGTGGAGCAGGTTGGAAAGCAGAAAGGTGGGACAAGCTGCTGTTCCCTGGTGCTGCCATGGCGGCTCCATGCTCAGGTGAGTCTGTGGCTCCAGGTGCTGTTACCTGTGAAATGAAAGTGAGACCTGAAAAAGCACAGGAGCACTGGTATCCCTGCAGAACCACTCCCTCCTGTCCCCTGGGCCCTGGGAAGCGTGGGCGGCCTCAGCCCAGGCTCCAGCCAGCTCAGCAGCCCCCAGACCATCACAGAGGTGGCTGCCCCGTGGGCCATCCCCTCCCCTGGACGTCCAACCCTGCAGTGTCCCCAGAAGGACTACGAAGCCAGGGCTCTTCTGAGCCCCTGGGGCTCAGAGCAGGGGATCTCCCACCCCAAAGCATCTGCCAGGCCCAGGACTGATTTCCCTGCTCAGACTGATTCTGCCAGCTCAGTGTCTACCCAGTGCCAGTGCCCCATCCCTGCCCTGGCTCAGAGATGTTTCCCCAGGCGAGATGTCTTCCTTGGAGTTTGGGAAGGGCGCTGAGCTGGGAGAGAGGTGACTAATTATGTCTAAAAAATCCCATGACAACTCAGCCCTCCTGGTTGTTCTCAGGAAAAGGACTCAGGACCTGCTGAGCCAGTGAGGGGGGAAGAGCTGCAAAGGGCACATCTGGGGAACAGCTGCCAGCCTGGTCTAGTGGAAGGTGTCCCTCCCCATGGCAGGGGTGGAATGGGATGGGTTTCAGATCCCTTCCAAACCAAACCATTCCACGATTCTATGATTTGCCATTTGGGGTATTTCTGTTTGTGCTGAAGGAACCTGGGACCACTGCTGTCTGTGCTGCTCCGTGGGATGGGACAAGGGCATGGCTGAGCTCTGCTGAGGAGCACAGGGAAACCAGGAGCAATCAGAACCCCGGAGCCTGGGGCTGTGCTCTTGGAGAGAGAAGGTTTGTTTGTGAGTCAGGGCAGGACCAGAACTGGAGCTGTGCAGAGAAAATTGGGTGGGAGCCAGGGGGAAAAGCATGCCTCAGTCCTGGCTGAGGAGTTGTTTTTCACTTCTAATGTTTCCTGGTCTGTGCACTGGGAGAGCTGGGTCAGGCAGAGCCTGGAAATCTGTTTCCTCAGTGTCCCGTGGTGCAGAGCAAGTGCAGGGGAGCAGGAGAGGGCCTTGTTGGGGTTTCCTGGTGCTCTCAGTGAGGCTGGGATGGGGGAAACTCAGCAGGAGATGCCGACACGGACATGGAGCTGCGTCTGGCATTTCCCAGCCTGTCCCTTGGATTCGCTTCAGTTTCCTTCAGGCAGGCTGGTGAAACGTGCAGTTTTTGTTGTTTTCCATGTTTCCTGGGATGGCCAAGGCAGACCCGCTGAGCTGGGTCAGTGCAGGATGCTCCTCCCAGGGAGGTCCCAGGGCCGGCTCTCAGCTCCCTGGCTGCTCCTTTCAGCCAAGCCCAGCCTGGCACTGGCTCCGGCCCTGATGACTCCGAACAGGGCTGATCGCACGGCCCTCCCTCAGGAAACAGCAGCCCCTGCGATGTGAAGTCATCGCGTGCGGCTCAGGAGATGCTGTAACCTCCCTGGAATGTGCCCTCAGATGTTTGTCTTTCGATTGCAACCCATCAGTTCCTGTGCTGAGATGTTTTTTGGGAAAAACCTCTTCTTCATCACACCGTGCTTCCAGTGGGAGGGTCAGGCGTCCAACCTCCTCCCTCCAACCCTGGGAGCACCCCAGGCCTTCCCTGGCTGTCTCCTTCCCGTGGGCTGGGGCCAGTGTTTGTTTGTCCCTGTTGTCACAGAGCAGGTGGAGACATTCCCTGCCCGGTGGCATCGGAGCTGCTGCAGAGCTGCTCCAGCCCACACATGCCAGCTGGAGGGATGGGTGGTCACCCAGGTGGGACAGGACATTGGCTTGGAAGGGCACAAGCTGCTCCTCACAGCCCTTCCTGGCCTCTGGCTGCTGGAGGTTGGGAGCCAAGGTGTAGGGAGAGAGGGAAAAGAGGTGCAGAAAGGCTCTGTGGGGACCCAGGGGTGCTCCCTGCGCTGCTGGCGGGAGTTGGGTTGGATGGAGGAGCCCCACAAAACCCTGGACCCGTGAGCTTTCCCAGGAGGGATGAGGAGCAGCAGCCTCTGGAACATCCCAAGGCGGGACAGCAGCTCCCCAGACATCCATGTCCCGGCCAGGAGCGTCCCCGCGCTCCGGCGATGGATGACAGGCAATGACAGGACAGGACAGACAATGACAGGCCACGAGAGGCAAGTTCTGCTGCAGCTCCTTCCCTGGGCTGGGCTCCCGGGGCCAGCGCCTCCGCGGCTCCTGGCACAGCTGATCTCCTCGCTCCCTCTAGTGGGATTGGGGTGGCTGCGTGGGCTCCTGCCTGGCCACACCTGTGTCCCCGTTCCTCCTCTTGATGTCCCCCTGGAGATCCTTTTTTTTTTTAAGCCTGCCACAAAGCCCCCAGCACTTCCCAAGCTGCCCAACCTCCTGGGGAAGGAGAAAAACATTGTCTCGATCCCACCTGGAACACTGCGAGGTGAATCTCGTGCAGGAGCAGCGCCCCAGCCGTGTCCCGTCCTTCCCACAGCCCTGCCGGGGGCTGGAAGGGCTGCTCCAGGAAATGGTTAAACCCACAGTTTTTGTGGCTGAGGTGGGATCCTGAGGACAGGGGACAGGGTGAGGCCATTCCCCCCGTGCCCCGAGCTGGGATTTGGGGGTTTTACACCGTGACAGGTAGAGGAGGGACAGGGAGGACGGGAGGAGGCAGCGCCTTGGGGGGTTCTGTGTGCTGGGTTTGGAAGTTCTGGAAAGGGGAGAAGGACGGAGGGGAAAGGGGAACAGAGGAGGAGGGCAGCAAGGGAGAGGAGAGGCGGGAGAGGGAAAGGAGAGGAGTGGAGGGGAAGGGAAGAGAAGAAGAGAACGGAGAGGAGGAGAAAGGTGGGAGGAAAATAGAAGAGGAGGAGGAGGAGTAGAAGAGAGAAGAGGAGGTGAGGAGGGGAAGGGAGGAAGAGAAGAGCAGCAGGAGGAGGGGGCGGAGGGCGGCCCGGCGGTCCCGCCCCGAGGAGCGGCCGAGGCCCGTGGCGGAGCTGTCCCCGGCGGCCCCGCAGATGTTCCCCGTCCCCCTCCTCCTGCCCCTGCTCCTCGCCCCCGGCAGCGCCGCGGCCGCCCCGGGGGTCACAGGCGAGTGTCAGCCCCGGGGCCGGGTCGGTCCCGGTCCCGTGCCCGGTCTGCCCCGGCCGTTCGGGGCAGGTTTGGCCGAGCTGGGCCGCGGGGGGAGGCGGCGGGACCCCTGTCCTCCCCCGCATGGAGCCACTCCCGGCTTTGGGAAGCTTTTCCTGGCGCCTGATTTAAGACACGAAGGCGACTCCAGGCTCGGGCACGCCTTAATCCCGGAGAAAAGCTTTTAGGGGAAGGTCGGGAAGGGACTTGCGGCTTTTCTCGGCTCTCAGCGCGGTTCCCGGCAGGGGCCTGCGGGGGGGCCGTGCCGGGGGGTCCCACAGCTCCGTGTGTGCCCCTCAGAGCAGGACGGGGCATTTCCATGGCCCTGCTGGAGAATCTGGGCGTGTGGGTGGGTGAGAAGCTCAGCAGGGCTCAACACGGCTTCAGCCCCGGAGTGTGAGCGGGGGGATTCAGCCGCTCTGCCCTCAGTGAGAGCCCGGCTGCAGAGCAGCCCCGGGCCCAGCTGGAGAGAGCCCAGAGGCGGCCACGGAGCTGCTCTGGGGCCCGGAGCCCCTCTGGGGCCAGGCTGGGAGGGCTGGGGGTGCTCAGAGAGGACAAGGGTCCAGCAGAGCCCCTTCCAGGCTCCTCAGAGCCCCTTCCAGGGCCTAAGGGGGCTCCAGGAGAGCTTGGGACAAGGGATGGAGGGGCAGGACAAGGGGAAATGCCTTCCCACTGCCAGAGGGCACGGTTAGATGGGATATTGGGGGAAATTCTTCCCTGTGTGGGTGGTGAGGCCCTGGCAGAGGTTTCCCAGAGGAGCTGCAGCTGCCCCATCCCTGGCAGCGTTCCAGGCCAGGTTGGACACTGGGGCTTGGAGCAGCCTGGGATTGTGGAAGGTGTCCCTGCCCATGGAACTGAGTGATCTTTAAGATCCCTTCCAACCCAAACCCTTCCATGATTCACGATTCTATAAATAATTCCCTCGGCAGCTGAGGCAGAAAGGGCTCCTGCAGCACCTCCCAGGTGGATGGAGTGGGATCCCTGCGGCGGTGGGGTGACTCTGCTTTCTCTTGCAGCCCGCACGCTCGCTCCCTGCTACTCGGCCGACCTGCGCCCGGCCGCGGGCAGCCTGGTGTCGGCCGTGGGCTGCACCGTGCTGCTGACGGCCCCCGAGCTGCGGGGCAGCAGGGCCGTGTCCTGGGAGTACCGAGCGGGCTCGGAGGAGGGGGTCATCCTCAGCTACGGCTTCCGTCACCCCCCCAACGTGTCCCGGCTCTACGAGAACCGTGCCACATTCAACGAGTCCAGCCTGTCGCTGCAGGTGGTGCTGCAGCAAGGGGACAGCCGCCTCTACCGCCTCAGGGCCCAGGAGGAGGCCACGACCTGGTTCCATCTGCACGTTGTGGGTGAGTGGGGACACGGCCAGGCCTCCTCCGTGCCTGGGAGCCGGGACTGCCATGAGTTTGAGCGCTGACGCTGCCTCTGCCTCTCCCAGAGCCGCTCTCCGAGCCACAAATTGTGGGCAACTCCTTGGTGAAGGCAGGAGGCAGCACCAAACTGGTTTGCAACGTGGTGCAAGGGAAGGCAGATGCCTACTGGTGGAAGAAAAATGGGGAGCTGCTCGTGGGAAATGAGCGCATCCGTTTTGTGGAGAACACCACGCTCTGCATCGTGCGGGTGTCCATCAGCGACAGCGGCTACTACACCTGCGTGGTGAGCAACGCCGTGAGCCAGAATGAGACCTCCTTCCTGCTCAAGGTCCACCGTGAGTGCCTGCCTTCCTGTTGGTGTTTACCACTCATGACATCACACTGCAACACCTTCCCCTGCCCAGGAAAATACTAGGGGGACATTCCCAGAAAAGGGATTCTCTCTTCCTGCCTATGCTGAGCAGGCAGGTTTGCTGGGGGGCTGTGGGTGGGTTAAATTCAGGTTAAATTTGCTCTGGTGCAGAGGCTCTGTGTTCTCCCCTTTTCAGACTCTACCAACGTGGTGCTGCCTGTGGTCCTGACCTGTGTCATCTTCGGCGTGCTCGCAGGTGGGTGCTGGGGTGGGCAGGTGGGTGCTGGGGCAACTCTTTGCCGTGTGTCTGGCTGGTGGGTGCTGTGGCAAGTGCTGTGGCCACCAGAGGTGGGTGAAAGGGTCCCATGTGGCACATCCCTGCCAGGACCTGGCTCTCCCACCCTGGCATCCCATGGGCAGGGGCTGGGTTTTGTCACAGCTGCTGTTTCCAGCAGGGTGTCCCCAGTCCAAGGAGATCATGCTGGCCTGCATTGATGATGATGGTGGTGGGGCTCTGAGCCGCCTGGGCTAATGGAAGGTGTTCCTGCCCATGGCAGGGGTTGGAACTGGATGGGCTTTGAAGGTCCCTCCAACCCAAACGGTTCTGGGATTTTCTGATGCTGCTGCTTTGTCCCCAGGTGTCATCTTCTGGTGCCAGAGAAGGGAGAACTCATGTGGCAAGTGTTGGTAAGATGCCTCTAGCCCCCTCTTGGGGTGGCCCCCATTGCTCCTGCCAAAATTTTTTCTCTACAAGCCCAAATTTATCCTTGGCTGGATCCAAGTGAACTGGAGAAGTAGGAGAGCTCAGGGTGCTATTCCAGCCTCTCTAGAAATATTCCTGATTCCTCCACCCAGAGCCTGACACTCCTGGTTACCTTAGCTCTGAATAATGGGTAGACTTTTGAATACTCCAGAGATTTCTGGGAAGTGAGTGATTCTCGAGATTTTCTCAGAAATCTCTCCCTCTCTGTGACCACAAACACACTGAGGCTGTTCACTGGAGCTTCCTGGAGGGTGATGGTAAGGATGGAGAGGATAAGGATGGAAAACCCATCCCATGAGGTGGCGGGTTACAAACAAGGAGCTCTCAGGTGTCTTGTGCAGTCAGAACCCGAGAACTCCAGACAGATAAATTGGCCAAGGTAGCTCCTGGAATCTGGAGTAGGGCAGAAGTCCACACCTCCTGGTGCTGCCACTGCCAGCATGGAACACTGAGCTGGCTGAGGCTCTGGAGGGGTCCAGGTGCCCAGGACATGTGGGGCCCTCTCTTCTCCTTGCAGGTAGAGCTGGGTCAGCCCTGCTGTTGCCCTTCCCTGGTGACCCTGGTGATGGATGCTGCTGGGAGTGCCAGGTATTCCCTCCCATCCCAGCCTCTCCTGGGCTCACCTGTGAAATGTTCAAGCTGCCAGAACTAGCAAATATTTTTTTGGAAAACACTGGTTTGGACTATTTCTGTGTTGTCCTGCTCTTCCTGTTGTGCATCCCTGGGGAGAGGGATGTACCTGCTCCCTCCCTCCATCCTCCTGGCTTCTTCCAGATGCCTCGATGGGCTCTTGGCTCTGGAAAGAGCCACTGTCCCCGCTGGGCCAATCCACAGTCCTGGGGCTGCTGGGAGGTGCTGCAGTGCCAGCCCTGCCTCCCCGGGGCCTCCCCGTGTCCTGCTGTGCCAGGGGTTTGCCAGGGGGCTCGGGGGCTGAGGCTCTGGGCATCCTGCTCCGTGTGACCCTTGGAGGGAGGAGAAAGGGCAGGATTGTGCTGGGTGTGCAGCTGGAGGGAGCGGAGGCAGCGGGAGCTGGCAGGGAATGGGGGAGCAGCAAAGGAGTTCAGTTTCTGAAAGCAGATCCCAAGGAAATCCCTGCAGCTGGCTCAGGTGGGGATGCTCCCGAGCCCATCTCCAGCCCTGGGCTCTGCAGGGTCTGGGGATATCCCTGGGGACATTCCCTCCTCTCCCCAGCACCAGTGCTGGTGCCAGCTTGTCCTTCCCATTTGCTGCTCCTGCGGGTGACATTGGCCTTGGCCTGCTGGATACAGGGAGCCCTGCTCCTGTCCCCTCCTGTCCTCTCCCTCCCTGTGCTGCCTTGGCAGGGCTTTCCTAGATTGCTGTGAAGGGGATCTTACTCCTTCAGCTGAGCCTGGAGGCAGAGCAGGCATCCCCAGCCTGGAGAGACCTGGATGCTATCCCAGGTGCTGGACCCCACTGTTGGTCACCCCAAGACATTTGCACCCCCTTTTAATCTGAGGGGGAAATCCCTGGTCCAGGGCCCTCCCTGAGCCAGTCCCCAGCACCTCTGGAGCAGGCTGGAGACCTCTCAAAGGCAAACTGGAAAATTGTAGGAGAGATCACCGGGAGATTCAGGGGCTGTTAGCAAGGGGCTGTCTCAGCCTTGGGTTTTGTGGAACCTTTAAAGGAAGCAGAGGAGTTTGGGTGGAATAAATGAGATTCCAACCCTGTTGGAAGCTGCAGGGCAGGTTGTCATGTTCTCTGTTGCACTTGAGGGTGTAAGACGTAGGCACATGTTTTACAAGAAATACTTTTCTAAGTGTTTTGGGGAGTTGTCTGTGACTGGTTTTGGAGACTTTGTATTTTGTTGATGTCTGTTGCTGCTAATAAAGAGTGTGTGTTATCCCAGAGGGTGTTGCTGTGATGTTTAGGGATGGGAAATGCCCCCTTGGGGTAGCTGGAGCCTGAGGTAGCAGTGGGGTAGGAATCAGCCCCTGGTGGGGCGTGGCTGGTGGCAGAGCTGGGAATGCTGGATTTGTCCCAGTGTCTGGCTCTGGGAGATGATCCCTTCCTCTTGAGAACATCATTTGCTCCCCTTGTGGGGTTCCTGCATGCCCATCCCCTCCCTCACCTGCTCCTGTGGCAGTGACAGCCTGAGGGACTCAGCTGGGGTTAAGAACAGCCCAACAACTCTGCTCCAAATCTGGGTGAGGGTATTTTTAACCTGGCCCTGTTCCTGGAGTCACGGGAACCTGGCAGCTGCCCTGGCAGTGCCTGGGGAGGAGCTGCCTTCCAAGGAGCTGGGTCAGAGCTGCCCCAGGGGGGTTTTCGGGGAGGTCTGGGGTTCATCTGGGGCCTTTGGGTGCAGGGCTGTGCTCAGCAGCTGTTTGTGGTTGGGAAAGACTCCTTCAGGCTGCAGGAAACACCTCAGTGCGTTGTGACAGCCAGGACAAACAGCCCCTGGCACAGGCTGAGTACAATTCATGGAGGAAATAAATCCCAGAGTGTGTCAGATGCTGTGGGATGGATCTGAGGAAGAGCTGTTGACAGCATCTACCTCCTCCCACCATGGTTTTTGTGCCTTCATGTCCTTCCTCCACCTTTACTACTGGTAAAGCCAGAATCTATTTTAAGTTACTACAGGGTTACTCCCAGAAAAGTATGTCATGCTACTCCCAGGTATATCTTACACAAATAGCTCTAAATTGTTGTAAACAAACATTAAATAAAGATAAATCAGTGGGAGACTCCTGCAGCTGCTGCTAAAAGGGCTTCTCTACTTAAGGCTTTGGTTTTCTGCAGAAAGAAAGGGGGAAATGTGCATTTGGCCCTCCCCTGGGTGTGATTTATTATTTAAAAAGTCAGACTCAGGTTAATTTTGTGGACATTTATTATGAAGATCACAGAGGAACCAAAACTGAGATCCCTGAACCCACTAAACCTGGGGAAAGGCTTGGGCTGGCTTAGCCAAGTGAGAGACACCCCCATGGATCTCAGCAGGGAATGGTGTCCTTGGTGCCTGGCTGAGACATTTCGAAGGACCTGGAAGGAAGAGGAGGGGGAACATGCTGAGCATCAAAATTGTTCCCTGTGTGGGTGGGCAGACCTGGCACAGGTGCCCAGAACAGCTGTGGCTGCCCCTGGATCCCTGGGCAGGGTCCAAGGCCAGGTTGGACACTGGGGCTGGGAGCAGCGTGGGACAGGGGAAGGTGTCCCTGCCCAGGGCAGGCGGTGGAACTGGATAATCTTAGAATTCCCTTTCACCTATTCTGTTAATCTATGAATCCAGGAGGAATTAAGGTTTAAAAAGTTCAGGTTGAGGCCATAAGGGGAGTTTTGAGTGGGCTCTCAAGTGCTTTGCTGGATGGGGACCCCACCAGAGCCTCCCCCTGAACCCATCAAGAACCTAGGGGCTGGAGGGCAGTGCTGGGCTGGATCTTTCCTGGGGTCTGGGCCTTAAACTAAAACACAGGATAGTGTCCATATCCTGCTTCTTTTGCTTCAAGATGTACAATTTCATGTGGAAAATAAGAATTTATGTGGAAAATAGGAACAAAGGACCTACCTGGCTTTGTCCATCCAAGAGACATCACCATCCTTGCTGCAGCCCATCGTGTGATGTGCAAAAGACAAATCTGTCCCCAGATCAGGAGAAGGTGTGAGAGGCACCAAGATGGGGTGTTGTATTTGGGATAGAGTCCCTGGGGCGTTGTATTTGGGATACAGTCCTTGGGGTGTTGTATTTGGGATGCAGACCCTGGGGTGTTGTATTTGGGATGCAGTCCCTGGGGGGTTGTATTTGGGATGCAGTCCCTGGGGGGTTGTATTTGGGATGCAGTCCCTGGGGGGTTGTATTTGGGATGCAGTCCCTGGGGGGTTGTATTTGGGATGCAGTCCCTGGGGGGTTGTATTTGGGATGCAGTCCCTGGGGGGTTGTATTTGGGATGCAGTCCCTGGGGGGTTGTATTTGGGATGCAGTCCCTGGGGGGTTGTATTTGGGATGCAGTCCCTGGGGGGTTGTATTTGGGATGCAGTCCCTGGGGGGTTGTATTTGGGATGCAGTCCCTGGGGGGTTGTATTTGGGATGCAGTCCCTGGGGGGTTGTATTTGGGATGCAGTCCCTGGGGGGTTGTATTTGGGATGCAGTCCCTGGGGGGTTGTATTTGGGATGCAGTCCCTGGGGGGTTGTATTTGGGATGCAGTCCCTGGGGGGTTGTATTTGGGATGCAGTCCCTGGGGGGTTGTATTTGGGATGCAGTCCCTGGGGGGTTGTATTTGGGATGCAGTCCCTGGGGGGTTGTATTTGGGATGCAGTCCCTGGGGGGTTGTATTTGGGATGCAGTCCCTGGGGGGTTGTATTTGGGATGCAGTCCCTGGGGGGTTGTATTTGGGATGCAGTCCCTGGGGGGTTGTATTTGGGATGCAGTCCCTGGGGGGTTGTATTTGGGATGCAGTCCCTGGGGGGTTGTATTTGGGATGCAGTCCCTGGGGGGTTGTATTTGGGATGCAGTCCCTGGGGGGTTGTATTTGGGATGCAGTCCCTGGGGGGTTGTATTTGGGATGCAGTCCCTGGGGGGTTGTATTTGGGATGCAGTCCCTGGGGGGTTGTATTTGGGATGCAGTCCCTGGGGGGTTGTATTTGGGATGCAGTCCCTGGGGGGTTGTATTTGGGATGCAGTCCCTGGGGGGTTGTATTTGGGATGCAGTCCCTGGGGGGTTGTATTTGGGATGCAGTCCCTGGGGCTTCCCAGGGGAGGGAAACAATCAGTGGGAACCATCAAACACGGGGGCTTCACAAAAGCCACCCCACTTTTAACCAATTCCTGGGGCTGCTGGACGTGCGGGTTCAGTGAGGCGTTGGGGGGCGGGAGAGGAAGGAGGAGCAGACTTACAGCAGAGGCCGATGGCGAGGAGCGGGAGGGCCGAGACGGCCGCTGCGCTGCACACCAGGACGGTCACGTCCAGGAGCTCCGTGCATCCTTCTTCTGCCGCCGGAGAAAACAGCAGGGGCAGGGAAAGCAGACAGGCAGGTTGCCACCATGAAAGCACAAACACACAAAAAATACAAAATAAAATAGGTGGAGGATGTTGAAGCCGAGTTTTGCTCCTGCCAAGATTTCACTTCCCCAAACCTCCTGGTTTGCTGGGTTTGTTTTTGGAGGCCTGGCAGCTGAATTGAAGGGATGCGGGGATTACATGAGCTGTGTTCTTGGGGCGGTGCCTGCAGGATCTCTGCTCACCGTGGCGGTGGTAGATGCTCTTGATGAGGAAGGTGCTGCTCAGCACCACGGCCACCACGGCCCCCGGCGCGGCGTAGCCCATGGTGCGCTGTGCTGCAGAGCAAAAGGAAAAGGAGATGTGGAAGAGTGCCCAGAGGTGTGGGTGCAGGGCTGGCCTCACCCAGGCACTGGTAAGGGATCCACCAGCCTGAGTCAGCTCAGGAGTTCTCATTTTAAAACGTTAGGGATGATGTTTTGGGCAGAATAACCTCCCTGTGGACCAGTTTGGTCCATCCTTGGTGCAACCGCTCACCCTTTTTGCTCTTCAGGTGGCTGAAATCTGTAGGCTGGAAAATCACGGTGGTGGCACCCAGGAAGGTCACCACAGTGAGGTAGCTGAGGGTGATCTCAGGCAGTATGACAGCCACAGAAGGGCCTGAAAGACAACGGGACAAGGCAGAGACCCCGATGTTCCATTGCCCATCCCCTTCAACACCTGGGAACTCTGCATTACATCCCTTCCCCACCCTCCTCTGACTTCCAGCATTTCCTTGCAGCCTCTCCATTCTCTGATCATTTTACTCTCCTGCTGGGACTCATCCTGGGAAAGGGCACTGGGAAAAGGGGAATAACTGTATTAATTGTCTCAGGGGGGTGTGTAATGCACGTGGTGGTCCAGGCTCCCCCAGACCTGGAGATCACACATGGAGATCACACATGGATCATGTATTGCTCTGGATGGGTCTGTCCCCCACATTCCTTGGCATGACTCCCCTGTCCCTCAGTGCCTTCCTCTCTGGGCCCCACTGGACTCTGCATCTCCCATGGGGCCTGTTCCCCCTCCCTCCAAACCTCCCCACAGCCCCCTCTGACCTTCCTCCCACATCCAGAGGATGCCAGCGGTGCCATCCAGGATGCAGGCAATGCACACCAGCCCGCAGGTGTAGGAGCTGAGCCATCTCCAGAGCTCCCCCCCTAAAAACCCAGAGCAGAGGGGGGTGACCGCCGTGACACCCTGGAATCCCGTGCCAGCCATCACCCCTTCCTCAGGGTGGGGTGCAGTCTGTCCCCACCCAGATGCTGTGGGATATCCCAGGATCTGGGGGTTCCCAGAGCAATGCTCTTTAGTCTCCCCCACCAGACAAGGGAAATTGGGTCCCGCTCCCCCAGCTCACTTATCCTGAGCTTTTCGGACTGGCAGACGGGAATAATTAATCCCCACGCTGAGACAACAGCAAAGACCACAGCGATCACCGCCATCCTCAGGGTGTGCTTCAAGCGACCGGAGAGACCTGGAAAAGAGCAACCCCGAGGGGCAGGAGATGGGATATCAGCAGGACCAGCCCCCTGGCTCTGGTGGCTGCAGGGATCCTCCATCATCAGGACAGATTCCATTTATGCCAGCTGGTGGCCAAATACACTCCATGCAATGTCCAGCCTGGGGTGGGTGCTCCCCACAGGCTCCCGGGCCACCCTCCTGCCCATGTCCTGCTCAGCATCACCTTGGCCAAGGGCCATCATTTTGAATTTGCCCCAAGAGGGAATGGCCAATCTTCTGCCGAGGACTGTGCCTTGGTGGGATCAGAGGCTGGGAATTGCTGCCGGTCATCCCAAGATGGGCAACTCCTGGCAGCAGCATGTGGGCACCACCTCGTGGGGAAGGCAGCCAGACCGTGGGGGATGGAGGCTGAGGGAGCGGATAGAATCACTGAGACATCCCCAGGGAATGGTGGAGGGCAGGAGGAGTGAGGGGTGAGACCTTCAATGGTGACCTCCAGGGACGTTTCTTGCCAGCTGATCCCGTTGCTGGCATTGCAGGAATAGGAGCCGCAGTCCGACTTCTTGGCTGGCCTCAGGTACAGGGCACTGCGGCCTCTGGACAGCTGGGAAACTCTGTCTGGGAGAAGGGGCTGCCCATCCTTCTTCCAGGTGATGGTGTCCACTCTGCCCTCTGCCACCTCACAGACAACCTGGCCAGTGGCCCGAGCCAGGAGACTGCTGGTCTGGAGCTGAGGGCGGGACACAGGCTCTGCGGAGGGAACAGAGACCCCAGCACTTCTCTCAGACATAGAATCACAACATATTTTGGGTGGAAAAGGACCTTAAAGCTCATCCTATTCCACCCCCTACCATGGACAGGTTTCTCCACTATCCCAGGCTGCTCCAAGCCCTGTCCAACCTGGCCTTGGACACTTCCAGGCATCCAGGGGCAGCCACAGCTTCTCTGGGAATCTGTGCCAGTGAATGTGACCCAGAGCATCCCTGATGGGCCCTTGGGCTGCAATTGTCACCACAGCACCAGCCACAGCATGGTCACTGGTGCCTTTCCCTTGGGAAGCCCATCCTGTGATGTGCTTTCTAGGACTGTTTTTTTTCCCAGTTGAATCACTGCTTTAATGGACGTGGCTAAGTATGGAGCAATTTGAAATGCATCAGGAAATGAGAAAATAGCAGAGAAGGCAGCAGATGCCACTCGGATCGTGTGTGGTTGGAAGGAGAGGTGGGTGGTGAAGGGCTGCGGTGGCATTATGGCCATGGCGTGATTGGTGAGATAAGTCAGAGCAAATATTAAGGGAATTGCTGGCAGCAGTGCTGAGGAGGGACTTGTGGCTGTTTCAAGTGCCTCCTCTCTGTGGTGGCAGCTGGTGCCTGCAGAGGGCAAACGGGACAGCCTGGCCTTGAGGGGTGGTGGCTTCTCCAGAAACCTCAGCTCCATTGGCTCTGCCTGCTGTCCCCTGGCAAAGTGCTGGGTGGAGGGTCCCTGCAGGTGGCAGAGTCACAGCAACCCACCCTCTTCCTCTCCATTATCCCTCTGCTTCCTCCACCACGCCCCCAGTTCCTCCATCCTCTCACTGGTCCCTGCATCAGCCCCATCACCCCACTAGTCCCTCCATCATCCCACCAGTCACTCTGCCATCCCTTCATCCTCCCACCAGTCCCTCCACCCCTGCTTTGAAGTGTGGGAACAAGGGATGGAATTGTCTTTCCAGGATGGAGCTTTTTCCTCTGTCCCAGCCAGGCCCCTGCAAGGTCTCACTGGGCAGCACTTCCAGATTTGCTCCCCTAGGACAGGTTGGGAATCTCTTTCCAAAATCTCTTGGTGCTGTGTCCACACATGACAGGTTCCAGCAAGCTCAGGACTGGCTCATCAGCCTCTGCTCAAATCCCTTCTCCAACCCTTTGCCCTGGCTCTTGGTCCATGTACAGACAGATTCTGCTCGGGTGCACCACCTCGCTGCTCCCTCCCACAGCCGCCACTCACGGAGCACTTCCAGCCGGGTTTCCAGGCTCTTCCTGGCTCCTGTGTTCACAGTCACTCTGTAGGTGCCACTGTCACCTTCCTGGACATCCTCCAGCAGCAGAGATCCGTTGGATGGATGGAAAATGGCTCGTCCTGCATAGGGAGCGTGGATGGCTGGGGCGTGGGCCCCCCCCTCGTGCTGCAGGATGGGGAGGGGGTCGCTGCCATTGAGGAATTCCCAGCGTATGGAATTGCTGTGGGTGCTGTTATCCAGCCCAGGGAGCAGCACCGAGGATCCCACAGCAGCGGCTCTGTGGACAGCTCCTGTTGCTCCCAGAGCTGGAGGAAACGACACCAGCAGCCCTGGAGGGAGGAGAGGGGTAGGGATGAGGCTGGGAGCAACTGCTCTGGGGAAAGGTGTCTCTGCCCATGGCAGAGGAGTGGAATGAGCTTCTCCCACCTGACCTTTTTGTACTGACCTAATTTCCATGTCTCATTCCCAATTCAGAAAACCCTGGAAGATTTTTGTGTCGGAAGGAAGCTCAAAGCCCATCTCATTCCAGCTCTGCCATCTTCAGGGACACCTTCCACTGGACCAGGCTGCTCCAAACCCTGTTCAGCCTGCCTTTGAAGACTTCCAGGAATGGACAGCCACAAAATCCCTGGTCTTGTTTGGGGCTGAAGGTGTCCACGTGTCCCCCACAGTGGAGGATGCAGCCACCATCCCAAGACTTCTGGGCTTGTCACAACTTGGGCTCTGGCAGTTGCTCAAGGACTTAAGGAGGAGCCACTGTGGGAAGGTCACAGCTGCCAGACCCCCATCCCCAGTGAAGAGGATTCCAGGAGAGAGGGGAGGGAGGGGAGGCTCCCCGGCCGCCGTGGCTCCGAGCTGGGCAGAGGCCAGGGATCCCCACAGGCTGTGTTTGCTCTCGGCCCTGTCTCAGCTCCTGCCCAGATAAGCACCTGTTCACCTGCATTCCCACTGCAGCTGCCAGGCAAACTGCCCTGGAAACTCCTGCTGCTCCCTGGGGATGGTGCAGCACAGGTGGGAGGGAAAATAAGTGTGACAATCCAGGTAAAGTCAAGATCATCAGGTGATTTTAATTTCTCACTCTTATAACCTTGAAAGGCAGCTGTTTTCATGCCCTCCTGGCCCCAAAACTGTAGATGTGGAAGAAGAAAATACAATTTAATGATTTAAAATTCTTATTCTCTGAAAAAAAATTCTCTAAAAATTTTCTTTTTTTTTCTGATGAGAAAACACTATTTACAGAGAACAGAACAGTGAGCTGATGAAAGAGGAAAATACTTCATCTTTTGCAGCTGCAATGGCCAAAACTCATCCTACAGACATTGAGAGCTCACTGACACCATACCAAAATCAAGCTCTAGGGTAACGGGCTTCCTTTCTGTTTTAGATGCTCATCCTGAAAATCTTTGTGCATTTGGATCTAGCCCAGAGCAGTTGTGGCTGCCCCATTCCTGGAAGTGCTCAAGGCCAGGTTGGACAGAACTTGGAGCAACCTGGGGATGGAATGGGAGGGACTTCAAGGTCCTTTTCAACCCAAACCCTCCTGTTATTCCATAGTTTGTGTTTCAAGGCAGCCAGTGACTATTTAAAGGAGCACAGTGAAAATGCTCACACGAGTTTAACTGAAATAAAATTTGTGATTTTAAAAACATTCGATATTTTTACATATCCATTTTTAACACAAACAGATACTAACACATACACAGATATTTATGTGTGAGTACATCTACCAGCCCCACTACAAACCTGGCTGCAGCAGACTTTTATCCCCGGAGCTGTGCGTGGCTCTCCCACCTCCTCTCTCCTTGGGCAAACACGCCTTTGCCTTCCAGGTTAAACCTTTCACCCACCGAACGCCCGGCCCAGAGCTGCCCTCGCTCGGCTCCAGAGGGCTTTGGAGCGGCTCCCAGCCCAGCGCGGGGCTCCTTACCTGCGAGGAGCACCCAGGAGGTGCCCAGCAGCTCCGCGGGACGGCACAGCAGCATCTGCCACGGGAAAGCGGCCCCAGACAGCCCCGATGTCACAAATGCCTCGCAGTCGTGCTGCGCTGAGGGCAGCAGGCCAGGCGGGTGGGCAGCCCTGGATGGATTCCCGGTGCCGCGGGTGCTGCAGCCCGAGTTCCTGCCGATGGCTGCTCTCCCTCCGCGCGATTCCCCTCCCCGGCGCTTCCCGGGAGTGGCAGCGGCGGCAGCTCCGCTCCTGTCCCCGCTCCCCGGGAAAGGAGCTGCCCGTGGCTCCGGGGCCGCGCTGGGACCCGCCGGGGGCTCTGCCGGCACAGGAATAGAAGTTACCGGGGGCATCCCATGTCCTTTTCATGCCCCGAGGCCAGAAGATCCATCCCCATCCCTTTCCCACAGCTCAATCCTCTCCCAGAGCCTGCAGCAGAGCTGGAACTCACCCCCAGGCTGTTTCTTAGGGGAGCAGGGGTTCAGTATGGCTCTAAAACACCTGTGAGCAGCTTTTCCCTCCACCCCTTGAGGTGCTTGAGGTGTACTGGGCTCATCTACGTCCCACAGGCTTTCTGCAAAGGGAATTTCGTTTACGGGAGGGATACTCTTGGGATCAGGACTCAGGGATCTCATTTTGTTACATTTATCTCAAAATAATGGAATTCCAGATGGGTTTGGGTTGGGAGGGACCTTAAAATCCACCCCGTTCTACCCTCCAGCCATGGGAAGAGATCCCTTCTCTACTGGACCAGGTTGCTCCAAGCTCCAAATGAGGAGGGAAGCTAAAAACTGAAACACTTTTCAGCTGGGCTGGAAGCGGCTTCCCCCGGGTTTATTCGAGTCCTGTGAGCGTCCAAAGACTCTTGGTGGCACCAGAGGGGACCAAGGGGGATGCACTGAAAGCTGCACCTGCACGATCCTGGGAGCTGGGAGTGAGCAGAGGGCTCTGCAGTGCACTGGGGGGAAATGGGAAGCTCTGGGAGACACTGGACAGAAAATGTGGCCAGCAGGTGAATGGGGAGGGTTTGGTTTCACTGCAGGGCTGAGGCCTCTGGGGAGCCCCAAGAACTGGAGGAGGGGCTGAACTGCAGAGCCAAGAGCAAAGGGAGGGGTTCCAAGGGAGGAACTGGGATCTCTGCGGGACCAGGGAACAAGGCAGCAAACAGGGATGGGGGAGTGGAAGCGGCTGAAGGTCTGGGCGTGTGGGAGGGAACACTCGGGCTGCGCGGGGTGAGGGACAGACGGCCCCAGCGGCAAAGGGGACCCACCCGGGCCCTGGAATGTGCAGATGGGAACGGGGCATCCCGGGATACAGCAACACCCTGCAGCCTCTCTCGGGGTCCCACCAGCTGCGCTGGCCTCGCCTGCCTTCAGACCAGCCCAGGTCCTGCAGGCACCGCAGGTCCCCCGGAGCGAGCTCTCCAGATCTCTCACATCATTCCCGCCCTCTGCTCCACATCCCACAGCTCCTAAAAAAACGTTTACAGCCTCAGAGGCTCTGAACAGCAATTCCTGGGCTTCTCCAGAGGGACGGAGAGAGAGCAGCGGCACGAACTGCACCGGCACCGCCGGGAGCCCCGGGATGGGGCTCGGGGGTTTTGAAACACGAATTTCTGACATCTTGTGCCATCGTGTGGCCAGCGCGAGGCCCGTGCAGCGGCACGGAGAGCGGGATGTGGCACGGTGTGGGGATGTGGCACGGTGTGGGGATGGGGCACGGTGTGGGGATGGGGCACAGTGTGGGGATGTGGCACGGTGTGTGGGATGGGGCACGGTGTGGGGATGCCACACGGTGTGCGGGATGGGGCACGGTGTGGGGATGGGGCACGGTGTGGGGATGCCACACGGTGTGGGGATGTGGCACGGTGTGGGGATGCCACACGGTGTGCTGGATCCGTGGCTGGGCCAGCCCAGCCCGAGGGTCCCGCTCGCCCAGGACAGGGACTGCCCCCGTCGCTGGAAGAGGGCAATTTCCAGCAGGGAATGCTCAGACACTGCAAGCAAAACCCTTTTTTCTTTCCTTGGCTGTGGGAGGGAGTGGCTTTGTCCCCTTCAAGAACTGGAGGTGGAAGAGGAGGGACCCTCTTTTTTTTGCTGGACTCACTCGAGGGAGTCTCCCCACAGGTCCCAGCTCCACCTGGCCACACCACTGCCACCTCTCACCTTTGTCCCAGGGTCCTGGTGACACTTTTTGATGGTAAATATCCTTTCTGTGGGCAAACCATTCTCATTTTGTACAATCTTTTATTAATATCATTGTGATTATTGCGATTTCTTCAGTAACTTGTGACTCCAACTCAGAACCTCTCCTCATGTTTTTCTTCCACTATGGAAAGGGGTTGGCTGGAGGGGGCTTGATTTTCCTGCTGAGTTTTAAAATTGGCTCCTACCAGGATCCAAGGCTGCCATTGGAGCTTTACCTGACAGGGGGCAGCTCCCCTGGCACCACCAGGGCTCAGAAATCCCTTTGAGCCCTGCTGACTCCCAGGGGCTTCCCTGGGGATGGGAAGCACTGGGGAGGGAACACCAGGACTGGGAGCATCAGGGAGCTCAGCCCACAGCAAGAGCAGATTTCAGGAGTGTCTTGGCACCACGATCTCTACATTCAGTGTTTGGATTAAACAAGAGCAGCAAGTTCAGCGCCTGCACTGCCCCTGCCCTGAGGACACAGAGCACCTCACACAGCACAGCCAGGGGTGAAGGGGCCCAGCCCTGCTTCAAGGTCTGGTCAGAGCAGAGGGAACAGCCCAAAAGATATGGCAGAATGAAAAATGTCTAACAGCAGGATTTGCTTTTGTTCCTTATCCTGTAGCACTTCAGCAGGCCAGATCCCAGCTCCCAGGAGCTCAAAGGCACCTCTGAGTTACATTCAGAGGAGGAGAATTTTGGGAAAAAATACACCCAAAGAGTGAGTTTCATGCACAAGAGTATGATGATGACCTTAAAGCAACTCCTTAAGAAAGGATGGAAGAGGAGGCACGGTGGGAAGTTTGTCAGGAATCCTGGGGGGATGTCAGGAATCCTGCTGAGCATTGCCCTCAACACAAGTGCAGTGCCACAGGCAGAAGGAACAGCAGCATGGCAGTACTGGAAGTCAAGGAAAAGTGGGAATTCCATCCCTCATCTAACATCATCATCTCTGCTTCCCAACATGCAGATCTGGGTGCTTCCCTTTCCCCTCTCTAACCTAAACCTTCTCTGAAATGCTCAAAGTACACCAGGATCTCTCCAGGCCCTCTCTCAGGCAGCTTGGCTGCATGATCAGTGATAAGAGACAAGATCCCAGAGATTTCCATCCTGCTCTGCTGAAAATCCCCTGAAATTGGCAGCTGAAAAAAGGCCAAACAAAGAATCCTGAAGGCACTTGCTTGGAGGAACACTTACTGTGGTGGGATTAACCACGACTGAGCCACCCTGGCTGGGAGGACCAGGCTGGGAGCATGGACAGCAAGAGCTGCCTGTGCTCAAAGGCAGAGTGTGGTCCCAAAAAACGGTACCACAACCTTTGGTTTCCACCTGCCCCCTCGCCTGAGCAGGCCCTGGGAGCTGCTTGGAGAGGGTGGAGGTGCCTGAGGTATTGCAGTGTCTTTGCTGTGGTGAGGCACTGGCACAGAGGGCCTGGAGCACCTGGGGAGGCACCAGCCCACCTGGCCTGGTGTGGAGTGGGGCTGGGGGCTCCTGCCTCTCCCAGGGTAGCACTGAGGGGCTGCTTGCCTCTCCCAAAAGTGGCACTGGGGGCTGCCAGCCACTCCCGGAGATGAGACTGGGGGCTGCCCACCTCTCCTGGCAGTGGGACTGGGAGGGTCCTGCCTCTCCCAGAGGAGGGACTGGGGGCTCCCTGGCTCTCTGGAGGGTGGGCTAGGCCTGCAGCCCCAGCAGGCGGGCAGTGTTCAGCACGTCGTCCCTCGTCAGGTAACACCCACAGAGCTGCCGGTAGCCAGTGAATGCCTCCCGGCCATGCAGGACACGCCAGTTATCCACAAACAGGACCTGCAGAAAAGGGAAAAGGTCATCAGGAGGACAGCAACCACAGCAGGCAGGGCCAGGAGCCTCTGGCAGGGCAGGCCCTGGGGATCCCTGGACACTGGAAGAGCAGGTAAGGGTGTACCACAGTGGGCACAAGCCTCCTGTTCCACACTGGCACAGGTGAGGAGGCTACAGCCAGCTGTTCCACAGGATCCAACATTTTCACCAGCTCTTTATGGAGCAGCCCAGAAACGCATTTTGGGATTTCTTTGCCTTTCTACTGGAGAGGAAATAGTTCACCAGCAATAGACAGTGGCAAACTTATCACTGAATCCCAGAATGCTTGAGTTGGAAGGAACCTTAAAACCCACCCTGTTCCACCCTCTGCCATGGGCATGGATACCTTCCACTATCCCACGTTGCTCCAAGCCCCATGGAACTTGGATTTGAACACTTCCAGGGATGGGGCAGCCCCAACCACCTGCCTCTGTGGTGTCACTTACCCATGTAAGGACTCAAACATAACCTCAGAACTGTAATTTCTTTTGGAAGAAGTGAAAGCCTGAACATTAGGTGTTCTGGCCTCTCTGCTCCTGAGGATTCTCATTTCAGCGGCTGGAAACTGGGACTAACTTTCCTCTGAGGCAGAGCTTGAACTAAACATCTCTGCCTCACCTGGGAGCTCATGCTTCTTTAGGACAGTAGAAAAAACACACATGCAGAAGGCACTACTGTTAACGCTGGAGCACCCAGAATGAGGAAAACTGCTGGATATGGCAGCGCCCAGACACCGGCACACCCACAGAGCACCCTGCCCTTCTCCCTGTGCCAAACCCACGGGATTCAGCTCCCAGTCCCACCCTGGAGCAGTCCTAGAGGATGCAGCTCCAGCCCCACCTTGCCCGGCTTCAGCTTGACCCAGAGCTCGTTGTCGGGCCGGCGCAGCTCGGCGGTGAGGGCGCGGTGCGCGTGGTACCAGCGGCGCACCACGTCATGCGGCACCGTGTTGATCACGGCACGGTCGTAGTTGTTGTACCTGCAGGGAGAGGAGAGACAAGAGACTGCCCAAAACAGCTCCAGGTGCTTCCAGAGAACCTCAGGAGCCTGTGGGGTTAGTGGGTATTTAAGGGAGGCTGCAGAGGTGACCAGAGAGGTTGTGCTGCCAGCACAGGACTTTGGGAACACAGCACTGAGGGCAAGAGGAGTTTACTGTCAAGTGTATGCCTGTTCTTCCTGGTTTTCCATGGAAGGACATGGCAAGACTGAGGTTTGCTTAGAATGAAAGTGCAAAGCAATGCTGGACAACCTCTAGAACTGAGGTGAATTGGAGTTTCAAAAATCAGCCCAAGTTCCCTTTGTAAGGGATGGCTCTGCACTCTCCCTGTTCCCTGCGTGCCAGGATAGTTTCTAGGGGCTTCTCCAGAGAAGGGCTTAATTTTTCTGCATCTCACATAGAATGAGATGAGAGCTTGGAGCTGAAGGGAGACTACCAGGAGTAAAAATTGAAGTTCAGCACTGACACCCATCTTTGCATCAGTGGTGCTGACACCTCCTCTAAAGCAGGAGGAACATAGGGTGTTCCTGTGGTTTCATCCCTGCTCACCAAAGATGAGCCCATGGAATGTTCTAAAAAACCACCACCACCACAACACCTTGTCCTCCTCAGAGGCCTCCTGGCCATTACCTGATGAGGTAAAGCTCGTTGTTCCAGGGGTAGACGTTGAGCACCGGCCCCACTCCGATCATGTGGTTGTGGCAGCCGCCCACGTTCTCCACGTACTCGTGTTTGAGGGGCACCTTGGCCAGCAGCTCGAAGTGCTCCGGGGCCTGGCGCAGCACCTGCTCGGCCGCGTGGAACCCGTCCACCAGCAGCGTCCGCCCTCCCGTGCCCTCGTGCTTCAGGCAGTGGAATACCTGGATGCTGCACGGAGACAGAATCCGAGAGAATGACCTTGGCTGCCTATCCCCTGGGCACAAGGTGCTGCCCGAGGACACGGCCAGGTGATGCACCACCCGTCCCTGCTGCTTCTCCAGACCCAATCCCACATGTTTTGCTGGGTGAGGAGGCAGAAAACTGCCTGTGCTGCATCCCAAACCTTGTGAGTCTGGGGACTTCAGGAGCTGCAGGATGAAGGCTGTGTCACCCAAAAACCAAACCCAAAGAAGCTGTGGCTGCCCCATTCCTGGAAGTGTCCAAGGACAGGGTGAATGGGGCTTTGAGCAGCCTGGGCAGTGGAAGGTGTCCCTGCAGCAGCACGTACCCGCAGGGCTCCTGGAAGTAGGTGGTGTCTGTGTGCCGGTCCAGGGCCAGTTTGGTGTAGGCTGTGTCTCCCCGGGAGAAGTCAGAGGTGAAGTACCACATCCTGCCATAAATGGTCTCCCTGGAAAAGAGATGGGCAGTTATCATACGTCAGTGTCTGGGTAAGGCACATCCTCCCCTACACTTGAGTTATTCCCCTCTGTCCCATGCACAGAGTCATTAAAGCAGAACAACTTCACAAAATTCAGATTGTCAGGGATGGTGCTTCTAATCCCTCTTCTGGTGTTCAGCTCTCTCTTTTCTCCCCTCCACAACCACTGATGTTTCCATTCCAGCCATCATCCCCAGTCACGGAAGTGACACAAGGAGTTGTCTAAGTGCAGCCAGCCCTTACTTGTATCCACACAGGGTTGCCCAGTAATTCAATTTCTTCTTCCCAGAATCCTATTTTCACTATCCCTCCCCTCCAACACGCACAGGAGGGAAGGGACACCAGGCAAGGCCAAACAGTACTCAGGGGCTACAGGGGAAGGGTGCCTGCAGACAAAAGCTGGCTGATATTCCCTGGAGCCCCTTGTTTCCATTTCGAGTGACTGTTCATTACGACGAATCCCTCCTTTTCCAACAGCCCCAGGCAAATCAAACTGTTTCTACAGCTTGGATAAAGCCCCGAGCTCAGCCCCTGGCCTGCCATGCTGGTAGTGCTTCGCACAAACTCAGCACCAACACCTCTCACTGTTTTTCTCTAGCAAAAGTTCCAGCTGGTCTTTGATCTCCCTGGCTCCCAGGACCAGGCTGCCCTCACGACCCCTCAAGTCATAACAGGAAATGTCTCCTTGCAAAGCCCTGCTCTTCCCAGCCACCCACTTCCTTCAGTCCCTCCTCTCTGCACAGTCCCACTGTCACAAAAGTCATGGGATGCTCTGGGGCAGCTCAATGACTGAGTGATTCACAGCTCTTCCATAAAGGAGGTTGGATCCCACAGTGGGATCCTCCATCCCAGGTCCAGGGGAGAAGCCAGAACATTTGTCTGCAAACCAGGCCATGCCACACATAACACAGGACAAGGGGGCAGCAGCTTTCCAAACAGAAAGAGAACAAGTTTATCCTTCCCAGGATAGCCCAGATACCTGATTATGCTGATTCTCTTTGCCAAGATTTCTGTGTCCTCTTTGGTGGGAGT